GTGTGTGTGTGTGTGTGACTGTGACTGCGACTGTGACTGTGACTGTGGCTGTGAATGTGAATGTGAACGTTAATGTGAATGTGAATGCGATTGTGAATGTGAATGTGAATGTGAATGTGAATGTGAATGTGAATGTGAATGTGAACGTGAATGTGAACGTGAATGTGCATGTGAATGTGAATGTGAATGTGAATGTGAATGCGACTGTGAATGTGAATGTGAATGTGAATGTGAATGTGAATGCGACTGTGAATGTGCATGTGAATGTGAATGTGAATGTGAATGTGAATGTGAATGTGAATGTGAATGTGAATATGAATGTGAATGTGAATGTGTCTGTGTGTGTTACCCCTTTCTGCGCTCATGGGCACCGAGAAAGTATAGCACTTGCCTTTCTGAAGCTTGTCGCGAGTGTTGTTCCACGGCGTCGTTGAATTAAACTCGCGCGGATTTCGCCCGTCTCCGCGTCCAGCAAGTCCACTGAGAACACCTGTTCTGTCGCCGTTCGGAATAATTTGGACCTGCGACTTGGATGTGACCCGGGCGCGAATGGTCCACTTGGAGTGGCAGTAGGTCGACAGCTCCCTGATTGGGCATAACATTCCCAACATCATAGCCACACCTTTGACTAGGCGGGTGTGGAAGGGTGCGTTGAGCGTGGACCAGCACTGCCAAATCAGACCCCTCAGCCAGAACGACTACATGACGATAAGTTAGATGTGTCCCTTGTTCTCACCCCATCGCCTAACTCATCTACTGCAACCTCATCTCGAGCAACGCCATCTCCATGCCAGTGCAGTGTCAGCTCATCCCCCCTGCCATCCTCCCACACCCCCTGCCATCTCCCCCATCAAGCACGCAGGCGCCTGCAAAGTTAGGCACAGACCCACTCTGGGGCCCAATAAATGTTTTATATATGTATACAGACATACATACATACATACATATTAATAGATGCTAAAACCATCGCGCGCTTCGTGCGCGCTCAAGCCTTAGCTAGGCTCGACAAGCCAACGCATGGAATCTCAATTGCTGAAGTGCCTTGTGCATCGAACGACCTTCTTGGAAAGCCTGCGCAAAACGCGGAAACCTGTAAGGGGGAAATGTGGAAACCAAAACATCATAAATTGCCTTCAGGTGTTCGATGATTTGGAGCCCTCGAAGGCTTCCTGGGATCTTTCTTCGCTGGTGACGGGGGCCTTAATCACGGTCTGTTGTGCAGAAATAAGCAGGGGGCAAGTTCGAATAAAAGGAAATATTGGAATCTCCCTTTTTTCAAATTGCCATGCCTGGGCCGTGGATCAGAACTGTCCTGGATACAGGCCGTGGACTGTTGGGGCGCCTCTGGGCGCCTTTTAGCGGCGTCTTGGGAGTCTTCCGGGACCTCTTTTGAAGCTCTTGTTGCCTCCTGGGAGTCTCCAGGTAGGTGTCTGCAGGCATCCGGGGGATGCCTCGAGACCCCCTGGGAGAACCTTGGGGCCACCTTGGGGCAAAGCGTTCGTAAAGCTTTGGGGGACCCCCTCTTTCGTTCATTGCTTAGCGCGCGTGCGCCGACGTCCTAGTTAGGCTGGACAAGTGAACTCATGGGAGCTGGATTTTACGGTGGTTACAGGGGCAGCCATGAGGACACGAAGACGACCCAAGACAGTGCCAAGACAGCGTCAGAGAGTTCAACAGCATTCCCGACAAATCTGTGCAATGTGACCCCGCAGTCTTGATGGGGCTCGGGATAAACTTGGACAAAAAGAGAATCATTGGATTTCCTGTTTTTTTTCAAGCGGGGCCTCCTGCAATGTGGTGCGTAGGAACTGGGGGGGGCCTCAGAGGCGTGCAAGGAACTCTTGGGAGGCAGTTTGGAGGCCGCTGGGGGACTGGTTTATAGCCTCTTGGAGCCACTTTTGGGCCTCTTCAGGGCTCTGAAAGGCCTGTTCGGGCTCTTTGGGGGACTCTTGGGGCCTCCTGGGGGCCTCTTGGAGCGGAAAGCCGGGATTGTCGATTTGCGTTCCTCCTGTTGGGCGGTTTTTCGGGCCATCTTTGGGCTCTCTTGGGCTGCCTCGGGGCGCTCTTGGGCCGTCTTGGGGCTCACTTGGCCCGTCTTGGAGCCGTCTTGGGGGTTCTTGGGCGGTTTTGGGGCGATGTGGGGGGCCTTTTCGACCGTGTTGGAGGGGTGGGAGATCGAAAGCGCGAGAAGGCGAACAACAGCAACAACAACAAAAACAACAAACAACAAACAACAAACAAACAACAATTTGGCCCCTTTTCGAGCGCTCCCGGGACGCCTCTCGGAGCTCTCTTGGGGCCTCTTGGAAGCATCCTGCGAGCCTGGAGAGCCGTCGGAAGTCTGTCTTGGGCTGCTTGGGAGCGTTTTGGGCCGTTCTTGCGCGTTCTGGGGGGTCCTTCGGGGCGTCTTGGGCCGTCCTGGGGCGTTCAGGCGACCACCCTGGGAGGCCTGGGGGGCGCAGTGCCAGGGCCTGCCCCCGAATGTCACGGAGGTGGGGGGCGCCCCCGGGAGGGGGGTCACCTGTTTATGTGTATGTATACATATGTGTATATATATATATATATATATATACATACACATCGTTATACATATATAGATATATGTGTTATATATATGTATGATATATATATATATATATGTTTAGGAATATCATACACATCATAGAAAGAGCGCGTTCTGTGGTCGCTTGGAAGGGGGGGGGAACTGGACCCCCCCACTTCCGTGACGCAGGGGGGGGGTTCGAACCCCCCCCTACTCTCCTCTCTCCCTCTCCTCGGCTGGCGGCGGCGGCGGCGGGGACGACGATTTTTTTTTTTCTGGGCCGGCGCCGGCGCCTGCGGCGACGGGCGGCGGCGGCGGGGAGCGTCGACGAGGACGACGGTGGTGGTGGTGGTGGTGGTGGATTTGGTGGTGGTGGTGGTGGTGGTGGTGGCGGTGGTGGTGGTGGTGGTGGTGGTGGTGGTGGTGGGTGGTGGTGGTGGTGGTGGGTTGTGTGGTGGTGGTGGTGGGTTGGGTGGCGGTGGTGGTGTGTGGTGGTGTGGTGGTGGTGGTGGTGGTGGTTGGTGGTGTGGTGGTGGTGGTGGTGGTGTGGTGGTGGTGGTGGTGTTGTGGTGTGGTGGTGGTGGTGGTGGGCGGTGGTGGGCGGTGGTGGTGGTGGTGGTTGTGGTGGTGGTGTGGTGGTGGTGTGGTGGTGGTGTGGTGGTGGTTTGTGGTGGTGGTGGGTTTGTGGTGGTGGCGGTGGTTTGTGGAGGTGGTGCTCGTGGTGGTGGTGGTGGCGGTGGTGGTGGTGGTGGTGGTGTGGTGGCTTGTGGTGGTGGTGGTGGGTTGTGCTGCTGGTAGTGGTGGTGGTTGTGGCGGTGGTGGTGGTGGTGTGGTAGATTGTGGTGGTGGTGGTGGAAGTGGTGGTGGGTTTCTGTGCTGGTGCTGGTGATGGTGAGTTGTGGTGGTGATGGTTGTGGTGGTGGTGGTCGCTGTGGTGGTGGTGGTGGTGGTTGTGTGGTGGGTTGATGCTGATGGTGGTGGGTTGAGGCGGTGGTGGTGGTGGTAGTAGGAGTGGTGGTGGTGGTGGTAGTGGTGGTAATCGTCGCTGCGTCCCCCCTGTCGCCAGCGCCAGCGCCAGCGCTGCTGGCCGCCGCCAGCGCCGGCGTCGGCGCCAGGGGGGGGGGTTTGAACCGCCCCCCCCTGGGCGCGGGACCCCTCCCCCCGTGGGCCTCTTCTGGGGTGGTTGGTGGTGGTGGTGGTGGTTGGTGGTGGTGTGGTGGTGGTGGTGTATGTGGTGGTGGTGGTAGTGGTGGTGGTGGTGGTGTAGTGTGTGGTGGTGGTGGTGTTGTGTGGTGATGTGGTGGGTGGTTTGTGGGGGTGGTGTGTGGCGGTGGTGGTGGTCGGTTGTGGTGGTTTGTGGTGGCGGTTTGGTGGTACTGTGGTGGTGGTTTGTGGTGGTGGTGGTGGTGCTCGTGGTGGTGGTGGCTGTGGTGGTGCTGGTGGTTTGGTGGTTTGTAGTGGTGGTGGTGTTGGGTCGTGCTGCTGGTAGTGGTGGTGGTTGTGGCGGTGGTGGTGGTGGCGTGGTAGATTGTGGTGGCAGTGGTGGTGGTAGTGGTGGTGGGTTTTTGTGGTGGTGGTGGTGATGGTGAGTTGTGGTGGTTTTTGTTGTGGTGGTGGTGGCTGTGGTGGTGGTGGTGGTGGTTGTGTGGTGGGTTGGTGGTGGTGGTGGTGGTAGTGGTGGGTTGAGGCGGCGGTGGTGGTTGTAATGGTGGTGGTGGTGGTGGTGGTAGGTGTGGTTATCGTCGCTGCGTCCCCGCCGTCGCCGGCGCCAGCGCCTGCGCTGCTGGCCGCCGCCAGCGCCGGCGCCGGCGCAAGGGGGGGGGTTGAACCCCCCCCCTCCGGCGCGGGACCCATCCCCCCGTTAGGCTGCTTCTGGTCATCGTCGCTGCGTCCCCGCCGTCGGCGCTGCTGGCGGCCGCCGGCGCCGGCGCCAGGGGGGGGGGGTTGAAACCACTCCCCCCTTTCAAAGGGGGGAGTGGTTCGGGAGGGCGGGGGGCGAGAGGGTTCGGGCGGGGGGGGGGGTGGGGAGGGGAGTCCCCCTGGTTTTGATCGACGGCGCCGAGTGTTTGGGGGGGGCCCCCCCGGTTCGAAACGCGCCGCCGAATGTTCCCAAGGCAAGCGCCCGTGAAACGCGTTCTCTCCATACACAATATATATTATATAAATATATATGTACATCATATATGTAAATATACATATATATATATTATATATATATATATATATATATATATATACATGTCATCTGTATACATTAAATGGGCCCCTTCCGAACCCGAGGTGCTCCTCAGCTCGACGCCATGAGTTCATGACCGAGCCGACAGGCGGAGAACCCCAGGGCAGGCCGAGAAGCACCGAAACGCTCCACAGCGGGGAGAACTGAAAATAGGAGGCCGTGGGTGGCGAGCGATCTGGCCGACAGGCGCACGCGGCACGCGCGCAGGGCGCGCGTGGGGCGTCACTCCTGCGCACTGCCGCCCCGGGGGGCGGGCAGGAAGCCCCGCGGCTCGAGCGCCGCCCGAGAGGTGCGCGCGGCTGCGACGAGGCACCGCGCGCCGCGGTCGCGCCACGCGGGGTTCCTGCCCAGGCACGGCGGCCCCTCGAAGTGGCTGCGCCGCCCCGCTGGCACGTCCAGCGCGCCCGCTCGCTGGCCGCCAACGAACACATCCGCGCGCTCGCCGGTGAAGACTCCGGCGACGTGCACCCAGCCGTCGGGCGGCCACTGCGCCGCGCCCGCGTCGACCTCATGGTGGACGCCGTCCACGGTGACGAGGAAGCAAACCACGCCGCGGCGCAACAGCCGGAGTTCCCAGCCCGAGCCCGGCCCGTGCTGCGAGAACAGCGGGTTCTGAAAGCCCTCGGGCCGCAGCTCCGCGGGCCGGGCGCGCAGCCAGGCCTCCACGGTGAAGGCGCCGTCGCCCGTGGCCGCGCAGACGCCGCCCACCTGCTGCGGCAGGCCCTCCACCTCGACGCAGGCGCCGGGCGCCAGCAGCTCCAGGGCGGGCACGCCGCCCACGCAGCAGAGCCGCGCGCCCCCGCAGAGCCTCCCGACCACCGCCGCCCCGGGCCTGGCGGCCGCCGCCTCCCCAGGGCTTCAATTCCTCACTCAAATTGAGGAAAAAACTCCCGTCGCAGTTTTAACATGGTTACGCAGATTTGTTGTAATCATGATCGAAAAGCTCGATGTCGCAGTTTTGCTTGATCTATTGTTTGCAAAACGTGTTGTCGCAAATTTGCGTTGTCATGTGCTCAAGTATGGTTTTGCATGCATGTATGTACCATGTAATGCCTGTAACGTGTGTTGCATGCGGCCATTACACTGATACGTACCAAATGTATATACATATACAAATAATGCGTCATATGTTGTATGTACATCACACAGAACATGTTGTGCGATGCGAGACTTTTCGGGATGCGCATGCGTGCACAACTCAAAATCACAAAACTGAAGTGCCCAAACATGTTCTTTCCTGCTCGTCCTTCTCCTCCTCTTCCTCCTACTCCTCCTCCTACTCCTCCTCCTCCTCCTCATCCTCCTCCTCCTCCTCCTCATCCTCCTCCTCCTCCTCCTCATCCTCCTCCTCCTCCTCCCTCTCGTCGTCGTCCTCCTCCTCCTCCTTCTCGTCCCCCTCCTCCTGTAACGTGTGTTGCATGCGTCCAATACACTGATACGTGCCATATATGTATATACATATGCAAATAATGCGTCATATGTTGTATGTACATCACAGAACATGTTGTGCGATGCGAGACCCAGTATTTTCGGGATGCGCATGTGTGCACAACTCAAAATCACAAAACTGAAGTGCCCAAACGTGTTCCTTCCTGCTCGTCCTTCTCCTCCTCTTCCTCCCCATCCTCATTCTCCTCCTACTCCTCCTCCTCCTCCGCATCCTCCTCCTCATCCCCCTCCTCCGCATCCTCCTCCTCATCCTCCTCCTCCTCCTCGTCCTCCTCCTCCTCATCCTCCTTCTCCTCCTCATCCTCTTCCTCCTCCTCACCCTCCCCCTCCTCCTCCTCATCCTCCCCCTGCTTCCCAACCTCCCCAGACAATGAAACGGATGATGATCTATCACGCGGCAGCGCGCTCACCGTCTCCGCGCGCGCAGCCGCCTGCGCTCCTTGCGGGCTCAGTGCTTTGGTCGCACTCCGTCGTGCTCCCATCGTCGATCCTTCCTCTGCCGCCTTCGAGCTCTTTCTTCTCTCCTCGCGCCATTTCTTCTCGAGCTCTTTCTTCTCTCCTCGTGCTCTTTCTCCTCGAGCTCTTTCTTCTCTCCTCGTGCTCTTTGTTCTTTCTTCTCGAGCGCTTTCTTCTCGAGCTCTGTTTTCTCTCCTCGAGCTCTTTTTCCTCGAGCCCTTTCTTCTCTCCTCGTGCTCTTTTTTCTTTCTCCTCGAGCTCTTCCTTCTGTCCTCGGGCGCTTTCTTCTCGAGCTCGTTCTTCTCTCCTCGAGATCGTGCTTCTCTCCTCGAGCTCTTTCTCCTTGGGCTCTTTCTCCTCGAGCTCTTTTTTGTCCTCAGGTCTCCTCGGGCGTCGGCTCTTTTCAGGTCTGCTGTGTCGTTCTTCTCCTGTCGCCTCGTCTGCCTCTCCTCGCGCCGCTGCCTCTCCTCGCGCCTCTCCCTCTCCTCGCGCTCCAGGTCTCCTCTGGCTTTGACGATATTCACTCTCCCTCAACTTGCTCATCTTGTCAATTAAGAGTTTCCTTACTGTCATGACCACGTCATCGCTGCTGGCGACCTCGGCTTCCTCCTCGGGATCCAAGGGGAATTCTAACGGGCTCGCGGGCGAAGTCGGTGTAGGTATTTGCGTTGGAGCTGACAGAGGAGAAGTTGGGACTGGAAATGGAACTGGAAGTGGTTCCTGAGAACGTTCGCCTGGCCCTGGCTTAGGCATAGATGTCGGGCTCTGTGGCGGAACCCCACAGCTCTCATCCTTTGTCCTGGGTTCTCCTGTCCTGTCCTGGGTGCCCCCATCGATCTCGTCGGCAAGGGGCGTCTCTTTGCCGTGTCTCTCCGTGGGCCTCCTTGTCTCCTCGAGCTCTTTCTTCTCTCCTCGCGCCATTTCTTCTCGAGCTCTTTCTTCTCTCCTTGAGCTCTTTCTCCCCGAGCTCTTTCTTCTCTCCTCGTGCTCTTTGTTCTTTCTTCTCGAGCGTGTTCTTCTCGAGCTCTTTCTTCTCTCCGCGAGCTCTTTTTCCTCGAGCTCTTTCTTCTCTCCTCGTGTTTTTTTCTTTCTCCTCGAGCTCTCCCTTCTGTCCTCGAGCGCTTTCTTCTCGAACTCTTTCTTCTCTCCTCGAGATCTTGCTTCTCTCCTCGAGCTCTTTCTCCTTGGGCTCTTTCCCCTCGAGCTCTTTCCTCTGTCCTCGAGCGCTTTCTTCTCGAGCTCTTTGGAAATACCTCCTGATCTTTCTTCTCTCCTCGAGCTCTTTCTCCTTCAGCTCTTTCTCCTGGAGCTCCTTTTTGTCTTCAGGTCTCCTCGGGCGTCGGCTCTTTTCAGGTCTGCTTGTCGTTCTTCTCCTGTCGCCTCGTATGCCTCTCCTCGCGCCGCTGCCTCTCCTCGCGCCTCCCCCCTCTCCTCGCGCTCCAGGTCTCCTCTGGCTTTGACGATCTTCCCTCTGTCCTCGGGCGCGTTTCTTCTCGAGCTCGTTCTTCTCTCCTCGAGATCGTGCTTCTCTCCTCGAGCTCTTTCTCCTTGGGCTCTTTCTCCTCGAGCTCTTTTTTGTCTTCAGGTCTCCTCGGGCGTCGGCTCTTTTCAGGTCTGCTGTGTCGTTCTTCTCCTGTCGCCTCGTCTGCCTCTCCTCGCGCCGCTGCCTCTCCTCGCGCCTCTCCCTCTCCTCGCGCTCCAGGTCTCCTCTGGCTTTGACGATATTCCCTCTCCCTCAACTTGCTCATCCTGTCAAGTAAGATCTTCCTTTCCCCGCCTTCTTTATAGACTGTCACGATCACGTCATCGCTCGGGATCTCGGCTTCCTCCTCCAAGGGGATTTCTATCGGGCTCTGCGGCGGAGGCCCGCAGCTCTCCTCTGTCCTGGGTTCTCCTGTCGGGCTCTCCTGCACAGTCCTACAGGCGGGCGAAGTCGGTGAAAGTAATTGCGTTGGAGCTGAATTTGGAACTGGAGTTGGAACTGAGACTTCGCATGGCATAGATGTTGAGCTTGAGGGAACCTTGCGACCGACTGCTTCCATGTGTTCCGATGCCAGCTCCTCCTTCATCATCGCCGTGCGCTCTCTGATCAGTCTGCAGTTTTGATCTTCAGCTTCCTCTTTCTCTCTCTCTCTTTCTCGCTTCTCTAACATCTTTCTCGCCAAAACATATCGGTCTTCAGCTTCCTCTTCCTTGAGCTCGCTCTCTTCCTTTCCGTCCTCTACGATACGTTTCGCCAAAGCGTATATTCGTTTGCCCAGATCTTGATCCTGTTCTCCTGAGTTCCTCGCTGCCTCACTGCCTGCATGCCGCCTCTGAGCTCCGCTTCCTTCTCTCCTCGCGCTCGTCCGCCGACCTCTTTGCAGGAGGAGGGAGAGAGGGGATCGAGCAATTGAATGAGTTGGGACCTCTCACAGCTTCAGAGTGGCTCAGCAAGATGACCGCGCGCCGCAGGGGCCACGAAGACATTGCCCCCCGCGCGTCGCTGAATGCTTCATCCGAGCCATAATGACGCTGGGCGTAGGGGGGGTTCCTCCACGGACGACAGCCTCGCCATCACCACCTCCTCCCTCCCTCCTCCTCCTCCTCCTCCTCCTCCTCCTCCTCCGCCTCCTCCCTCCTCCTCCGCCTCCTCCCTCCTCCTTCTTCCCCCTCCTCCTCCTCCTTGCCCTCCTCCTCCTCCTCCTCCTTCCGCCTCCTTCTCCTCCTCCTCCTCTTCTGGAAGCCCCTCTCCCTGGAGGACCCTTGGAAGCCCCTCTCCCTGGAGGGCCCCTGGATGCCCCTCTCCCTGGAGGACCCTTGGAAGAGAGGGAGGGCGGCTGGGGGGAGACGACTGCGGGGCGGAGGTCATTCTTCGCCCGCTTTCTGCGCACGCGTCTTACACGCGTAGCTTCGAACGAAGCGCGCTTCCTCCTTATTTCCTTCGTGATTTCTCCTGGGTGATGGCTGACCGAGGTCAGAGCTACACCTCGCCCCCCAAAGAATTGGCCACCAGACCCGACCCCCCAATGAGCCACCGGACTCGTCCAATGAGCCACCAGACCCACCCAATGAGCCACATTCCAGGAGAAAACAGGAAGGATGAGGAAGATGAGGAGGAGGCGCTCAAGTTGAATTATCAATTGCTCGGCCTCACTCTCACCAGTCCTAGCAAACAGGTTTCGCCCAGCGCAGCAGGGTGACGCCGCCGTAGCTGTCCTTCCGGCTTTTCCTGGTGATCCTCCTCTTCTTCCCATTTGCCTGGGACGCACGTGGACATACTAGTACTATATGTCCTCCTTGGAGGCGCGCGTCCGACCCGAACATATAGTACACCCATCTTGTAGTATATCGTTTCCCGAGCGGTGTGGCCAGAAAGCGCCCGCCACGACGCATATACTATAAGATTTCTCGGCGCGCGCGTCGCCCCTGGGGGGGCGACGCACATATAGTATAAGTATGTTGGGGTGTTGCCGATTGCCTGCCGCCGCATATCATTATCATCATTGGCTGCTGCCCACGCCGCGTGCACTGCGTAGCCGAACTCGATAGGGTAGTGCTCAGTCGACGCGAGTTTCTGTCGAGAGGATCAACAAGCCCCTGCCTTCCCTGCCGAATTCCGCAATAAAGAGATAGGGGTCTGAACTTTCCCAGACTTTCTGATCCCCCGTGGGAGAACCTCTCCAACCCCCCCCTCGGCCCTCCAAGATAGCCCGAAATAGAGCCACCCCCAAATCAGACCCCTCTCACTTTATAACAGAACGAGGAACCCGTTTTATCCTTACAGTCCTTTCCAGAGCAAACCCATCCATCTTTCGTCTCGTAGTGGTATTGGCGTTTCTCAGTTTCCGAAACAGTCAGCACAGGTTTCCGCCTCACGATATCATTCCATGTAGTCTTCGGAAGTGTCGTTGCCAGGTGGATTCCTTTGGGGATTTTTGCGTTCGCAGGGAAAGCGCCCAAGTAGGTCAGCAATTGCTTGGATCCCGTGGTCTCGAGAGCTTGGTCAAGGGATGGGTATTGAAACAGTCTCGACTGCACGGGCTTCTCCATCGCAAACCAAACTTTCCGAATCGTGGCAAGGCCGATGAGATACGAGGACAGATGGGCGCTCAGGTTTGCTTCCTCCACCTTCTCCTTGTCCCCATATCCGAAAATGTTCCCGCGGAGCCTGCCGTAGGTGTACGACGACGTAAAACCAAGCCACGTGCTGCAATCCAACTGTTGGGATGGTAACGTGATAACTGAAAGCAGAGGGGCCCTCACTTCCTCACACCGCCTTCCTCGGAATGAGGTTGGGCATTATCGATGTGTGGAGGTGGGCCCTTCATACTTGCAGTTCTCACTCACCACCGCGATCCAGAGAAGGCCGAAGGGTTTGACGCGGAGGAGCAACAGCCCGATGTGGATCTGACCCTCCAAGGTTGCGAGGTCCTCTGAATTCAAGCTAGATTCAGGCTGGTGAAGGGTGCATTGAGAACAAAGAGGGGCGTGGGGGTGCGAGTCCTCGCTCTTGTCTCTGGTGCCCCTGTCGAACTCTCTCGTCTCGCACCCGCGCTCCCTGAAAGCTGCCGATAGTGAACCAGCTCCAGAACAGACCGAATGAGGTGAAAAGGAGGTCGCGGGGGGGAACAGCGAGAATGAACGGGGATGAGGAGTATAGAGTAGGACAGACGAGGATAAAGAACGATGAACCCAGCACGACCTCAAGGAGGTCGACGTCGCGAACCACCTCATGCATCTTCTGGTTCACTACGCGGATCCCCTCTTGCAATTGGGCGAATTTGTTGGCATCAGGAATTCGCTCCTTGATCGACCGCGCCAGGTCCACCGCCTCATCCGACACGCCGAGGTGGCCGCCTTGGGCGGTCCAGAGGTACTGAGGGGTGCGGGGCGGGGGGGGGGGGGAGAGAGAGAGGAGGGAGGACAGGAGGGAGGAGGAGGAGAGGGAGGAGTTTGCCTTGCTGGTGCATGTCGATCACCAGGACTTGCTAGCGACAAGAGTGTCGCAACCCTCCTTAGCTTTGCGTCCTCGGGAGGCAAGCTGCTACGTATCGGCCCGCGTGGGCCGACTCCGCCCCTCCCAGGCTATGGAGCCTCAAATTCGCTGCGAGAAACCGGGGCTGGGGACGGAGGAAGGGAAACTGAACAACTAATCCCTGACCCATCCCCTTCACCAAACGCCCGTGGTGTGGTGCGGCGGTCCTTCGGTAGAGAGGTAACCATATTTTCGAAATACCATTCGTTCAAACCGTGCTCGATGAGTCGTTGCGGCCACGTTCGCTATCACAGCATTTGTTGATTCATCCCAATATGTATTGTAGTAGCGCGGGTTGCCCTTGCGGTACAACTGAGCTGCAAGATGTCTAAACATGTGATGTTTGGGGAGCATTGGGATTCCAGCAGCTTCTGCCAGGCCCACATGTAACTCAGCCAGCGTTTGCAGTTCGGAGCAGACCGCATCAGAGAGCTTTCGGGGCTGGCTGTCTATGATGTTGGTGAACTTCACAAGTGCGTTGCCAGCTGCAACCAGGGTGTCCACATTGCTCTCTGGCGGAAGCCTGCTAGCGACCGTCGGCAGGAACTCTGCTAAGAATTTCACAAACCACTTGCTTTCGTGCGCCTTTAAACCGAGGCTCGGTGCATTGCGGGTACCTATCATGCCTGGAGTCAGGTCTCCGACTCTGGTGATTGCAGATTCTGGAACACCCATGCTGCGTTGTTTCGAGTAAAACTCCCCAAGCTCTAAAAGTAAACGCTTCAGGCTGAGGCGAACCCGATCGCCTTGTAGTGTCGCCTGTATTTTGAAGAAATTGTGGCCTATCAGTAGCCAAACAACATTGGACGCCCACGACTGGAACACGCCGAGGTGGAGGCAATGTAGTTCGTCAATAGAAAATGTGTGCATGCCTGTGCCCAGGGCCGGATCCAGAAGTGGATTTCGATGGTAGCACCGCTCGGCACCTGGAGTCGGTCTCCAGAACTTGACAAGCACTGGCCCTTTATCAAACGAAAGGTGATCGAAATCCGCGGAGTCAAGCAACGTCGGCGACGGTTCCACCCTGTCGCCTTTGCGTAGGCCGTATTCGGGCAGGTCGGCGTAGAGTGCGCGGCCCCTGTTTGTTTTTTTCCAGCACAGACGGAAGCGCATCGTGCGGTGCATCTCCTGGTCGGTGATCAGGCACCAAATTTCGTGTGAGGTGCATTCGTCGTCGTATGATTCATTGGTAACCTGCTCCACTGGTGCTGATAGGTCGTGACTGTGGATTTGTTCTTGATTCTGCCTGCACATTATGCAGGGGGCGTGATGTGAGGCGTGGGCTGGAAAGCCCATGCCCGTTGACATCTCGGGCCAGTCCGCCTTGAAGTCCACCACGACTACTCGGAATCCCAGCGCCTGCCCACCCTCCCTCAAAGCTGGAGAATTGGAGGTGTCGGAGGAGGTCATGGAGGAGGAAATGAAAGCTGGACGGGCGACGAATGATGGAGGGGAGGAGGGAAGCAGGAAACGTGAGACGGATGTAGGAAACATGGTTGGAGGGAGCAGGTGGGTCTCAATGAGCCACGCGTGAGGTCCTAATGCGCACCGCAAGTCGCCCAACGAGGCCCCATGAGCACCAATGAGGTCGTTTGATCACTAGGTAGGCCTCATGAGGCCCAACATCAGACACCGAACCCCCCCCCCTACCCACAGAAAGCACATTGACACCCTCCCCTCTGCCCCACCATGCCAGCTTTGCTGGCTCGCTCTGCGTCGGTGTCCCTCCACGGCATCGCATCGTGGCGCTTGTCTGGAAATACCCCATCGACCAAAGATCGCAAACTCCAAGCAATTGCAATGTAAATAGGATACATGCTGCACCAGTGGCTACACCCGCAATTACACAAGTCTGCGGTGCGCAGGACGGCGACTAAATGCCTCCTGCCCGTCGGCAGCAGGTGGACGTATATCCCAGTAAACCCGTCCCGTTTTGTGTATGGTACTTTGTCCATATACAAAGCGAGTGGCAAAATGCGCTTTCGGTCTTCTCTGGGCGATGCCCGTACAATAGCATTGTCTTCATAGTCGTTGATCCACGCCTCAGTTTCCATCTTCCCCCCCCAGTCTTCAAGGATTTCGGGATGGGCTTGTATCTCATTATACAGCGATTCGTGTGGTGGGGAGATGTGGACTCCAATCGAAGATCTGTCAGGGTCGTTTCGTCCGTGGCCTGGGATATCCAGCTCGTACAGAGTCGAATCATAACGATCTAACTGTAACTCTCGATCAAGCTTCCGTTGGAAGTTATGTCCTTTCGCCACGGGGTTAACAGCGAACTGCCCAGCCTTCTTGATCCCAGCTTTGCTCGCATAGTAGCACAGCACACAAAAGTGACGCGCGTTCATAGGCTTCCCCAATAAATATAGTTCTACCAATTCGTGTATGAACTCTCCAGCAGCAGCATCCATCTCTCCTGGATCTGGGCCACACTCGCAGTCGGAAGGGTCAGATTCCTGGTCCCAAGGCAGAGGGGGTGGTTCAGGATCGCGGGTTCGTTTTCGGCCCCTGGTCTCTTTGGAGGACGCCATGGCTAGCGCACCGTCTCAGCGCGACCGCGCATCAAACTTGGGCCCAAAACTGCGTACATATGTTCCGTGGCGTATACATGCTCCCCCCCTTAATTGGTTTTACCGAAGCAAAAGCGAGCACACCATCCCTCTGCTAGTGCGCTGCCGACGATACGAGCGCATGCTTCCGCGCATCACATCGACAACAAATATCGCATCACTCAGCTCTGCAGGCGGCTCAATCCCCTGCGCCTCCAGCTGAGTGTCGCACCTAGCAACAAAAGTGCTGTGACGGCATAGCAGCGTTGCCGCCATCTCTCGAACGAAAACACGCAAACTCGGGGATGGACAGAACCCCCTTTAGTAAAACGTGGTTTAGTGAAAACGACCTGAGGCCCAAACCTGGCGGGCGCAAGCCTGGAAAATAACGGCCACGGCGCCCTCTCGAGAACCGAAAACGGACAATTCACTAATCGACGTGTCACTGTTGGGGGTTCTGTCCACCCACGACAAACGAACGATTGCGCGATCGACCACCCTGGGCTCGTGGCCAGCTCGGAGCGGCGTCGGCGCAGAGCGGCGAGCTGAAATTGGCGGCGCGGATTGCCCACGCGCCGATCGAGACAGCTCCAGCCTGCTCCTCGGGGGCCATGCAGGGGCTCATCGGGGGCTCATCGGGGTACTCATCGCTCATCGGGGTGCTCATCGGGGGTCGCTCATCGGTGGTTTCCCTGTGAATTTACAGGGTTTGGTGGCACTCATCGGGGTACTCATCGGGGGGGGGCTCATCGGGTGGCTCATCGCCCTGGTCCGGCCCACCGGGGCTCGGGAATTCGGAATTTCCGTCGGGATTTCAGATTTTCTGTTCAGAATTTGGGAATTCCACCCAGGGGATTGGAAACCTCGGAAATCTCAGAGTTGAGGCGGTCGCACGGCAAGGTTCCCCGCCTCGGACCTGGAGAGTTGTAACTCTGGGGGGGGGGGGGGATCGGTCGATCCTTTCCATTCGGGTGGTTCCGATTTAGATGACTTAGCCACCCGACGCAGGTATTTGAAATTTCGGAGCTTCACCTACGGGGTCACGGCGGCTCACGAATTCTCCTCCAGGGAATCAGCATATTTCTTCTCCAGCGCGTGCGAACTCATGATCTTACCATGCCAGTTGTTCAGCTTCTCGATGGGCGCAGGCATCCTGATCCGACCCCGCGTCCTTCTTCTCTCATTTCCCCGTCCTCAGTCTTCCTCCCTCAGTACTCCTCCTCATCCTCCTAGGCTGAGGCTGAGGCTGAGGCAGGCTGAGGCTGAGGCTGAGGCGCGCTGATGCTGAGGCAGGCTGAGGCTGAGGCTGAGGCGGATGCAGGCTGAGGCTGAGGCAGGCTGAGGCTGAGGCCGAGGCTGAAGGCAGATTGAGGCTGAGGCTTAAGCAGGCTGAGGCTGAGGCAGAGGCAGGCTGAGGCTGAGGCTGAGGCAGGCTCGACATCCTCCTCATCCCTCATACTCATCCTCCATCCTCCTGGCAGTCCTGGCCGAGATCTCCTTGAACTCAGATATCAGTTTCTCGACGCTGTGGCCCTTCTTGACCTCCTTGTGATCCTCTGTCAGCAAGCGAGTCATGAATGGAGTCGTTGCTTCCTGGGCCGCTTTCGTAAGCTTATCGAGATTAGACATGTTAACAGCGTGGTCACGTAGCCATGCCCACTCTGGCATCTTTTCGACAGCTGATTTGATCGTGTCTACACTTTGCATGGCACCAGAGAACTTCGAAATCCATTTTTTGGCTTCGGTCTCAGCAGCGGTAAGGTCCTTCCTTATCTGCTTCTGCTTTAACTTCTCCGCTTCCTCTGCCTCCCTCTGCGCCGTCTCATCTGGAGTTTTTCCAATGCCCGTATTGTCGTCGCTGTCATCATCAGCTGCCGCAGCTGCTGCCGCGGCCGCTGCCTCCTCCCTCGCTGCCTTGCCTTTCCTCGCCCTCTTCCTCGCTGGGACATCCTCCTGATCTTGTTCTACCTTGACCTGCCCTCCCGCTGCGGCTGCGCTGTTCTTCTGATCGGTGAGACGATGCAAGGGGCCATTGACTTCTGTTGGGTCTCCAAACTGTGTAAATTGATTCCAGGATTCTGTCATGATTTCCCTTTTCTCAAGCACAACATAGAAGAATTTCGTACGCTTCGTCATGGTGTCGTACATCAGCCACTCGCCTCCCATTCGAACGCATGCCTGAGCACAGAGAGATGGGGGGCGGATGAAGGAGATCTCCTAACTCCTCCTAGGCTCTTCTCTCCTCCTCTTCCTCCTCACTCCTCTTCCTCCCTGCTCCTCCTCCTCATCCCTCCCCCCTCCCTTATTCTCCTCCTCCTCTTCCTCCCTGCTCCTCCCCCTCCTCCTCCTCCTCCTCCTCCTCCTCCTTCTCCTCCTCCTCCTCCTCCCGTCCTGCTGCTCCTCCTCCTCCCACGGATTCCGTGAGCGCCTCGCAATAGTGATAGGCGGCCTCCCAGTTGTCCTCGTCGTGGTGACCGCCCTCCTCCTGCCCAGGCGGAAAAGGGGAGCCTACCGAGCACCAGACTCCTTAATTAATGAGCATCTGGTTGAAGCCCGTGGAACTGATTGAAGCTCTGGCACCCTGGCACCGCACCCCTGGACCCCAATGAACACCCCAATGAAATCCCAATGAACTCCCAATGAAACCCAAATGAAACCCCAATGAACAACTTATGAAGCTCCTAGGACGAGTCGGACGATATTGAGGAGGAGAATTGGAGGTGGTAGAAGGAAGCTGCCATCCTGGACAATCCGCGAGAAGCTGAAGTACGCCCCCTTCGACTCGTCGACGCGCTGGAACGACTTCTTTTTCGTCCACTTGCGAACCTCCGCCTTCAGCTTTTGCTCGGCCCATTCGACCCTGTATTTCTTCCTCTCCTCCGAATTCTTTTTTGCCCAGTCCTCCTTCCACTTCGCATCTTTCTTCTCTAGCGCTTTCTTATGACGCTCGAACTTCTGGTAGCAAGGGCTTCGAGCTACAACCTCGGTCTTGATACCGTCCACCAGCACTTGCATGAACGCCTTGACATCTTCGGGCACGTTATCTTTCGCAACCTCGTCTGCTTCGTATTCTTGCTTGCCTCTGCTATTCGTGACCTCCATAAGCAGGCGCGCCAGCTCGTGTTTCCCAAGGCCGTTCTTACCAGTACTCGTTAATGCAGTTGTCTCTCCCGCCGCCCTTGTTCGCGCTGCCTCTCGCGCCGCCTGCGTTGCTTGCTGCCTCGCTTTGACCAGAATAAGCTCGGTCGCGGGCTGGGTTTCAAGATCATCCTGAAGCACCGCCTCTGCCTGCCTCGCCTGGCGCTCCCCGACAGCCTTGTCCTCATTCGCCGTGCGTTCCTCAGCAGCCTTCTCCCCCCTTGCTTTCTCCTCAGCCTCGAGATCTTTAGCAGCCTCCGCCTTGCGTTCCTCAGCAGCTTTCTCCTCCCTGGCTTTCTCCTCAGCCTCGGGATCTTTAGCAGCCTTCTCCGCCCTGGTTCTCTCCTCAGCCTCGAGATCTTTAGCAGCCTTCGCCTTGCGTTCCTCAGCAGCCTTCTCCTTCCTGGCATTCTCCTCAGCCTCGAGATCTGTAGCAGCCTTCGCCTTGCGTTCCCCAGCAGCTTTCTCCCCCCTGGCCTTCTCCTCAGCCTCGAGATCTTTAGCAGCCTTCTCCTCCCTGGCTTTCTCCTCAGCCTCGAGATCTTTGGCAGCCGTCTCCTCCCTGGCTTTCCCCTCAGCCTCGAGATCTTTAGCAGCCTTCGCCTTGCGTTCCTCAGCAGTCTTCTCCCCCCTGGCTTTCTCCTCAGCCTCGAGATCTTTAGCAGTCTTCGCCCTCTTCCTCTCGGCTTCCATCGCCTGCATCTCCTCAGCTTGCTTTGCCCTGAGCTCCTCGACAGCCCTCTTCCTCTCAGCTTCCATCGCCTGCATCTCCTTTTCTTGTTTTGCCCTGAGCTCCTCGACAACCGTGGCATGCTCCTCAGCCTCCTTGCGCTCTCTATCAGCCTTCGCCCTCTTCCTCTCAGCTTCCCTCGCCTGCATCTCCTCAGCTTGCTTTGCCCTGAGCTCCTCGACAGCCCTCTGCCTGGCGTTCTCCTCGGCCTCCCTTTCCCGAGCAGCATCCGCCTGCCTCTTCTCAGCGGCCAGGGCAGCCTTCGCACGCCTCTCCAGTTCCTCGGCTTGCTTCCTCACGCGCTCCTCAGCAGCCTTGTCCTGCAGGGCTTTCTTCTCCTCATCCTCAGCCTCTACCTCCTCGCGCACCTCCTCAACCTCAGCCTCTTCCCCCCCCCCGCATCTCCGCAGCTTTCATCGGATCATCAGCCAGCCCCTGGCTTCCCTCACGATCATTGCTCGCTTGTGCTTGACTCTTCCTATCGGCCTGGCGTTCCTCATCCTGGGAAAAATCTGCAACATCCTTGGCAACTTTCGCAACCTCGGACATAAGATGTGCTGCCACCTCCGCACGATCGGCCTTCAACTCAGCCGCCCTAACACGATCCTCGGCAATCCTTCGATCCTCATCTGCCTGCTGCTGTAACATCTCAAGTTGCCGTTTCATCCTCTCTATCTCCTTGTCCTTTTCTTTCACCACTTCTTCGTCATACTGGCGCTCAAACGTGTCTGGTTCCCTCAGCTTCCAGTTCCTCGAGATCCTTTGCGGCTCCTCAGGTTTCGCATCCTCGGCCTCCTCGTCTCTCGTAAGGTCCTGCAGAGCCCCTGCAGTCTCATGGTGAGTCCTCTGTTTCTTATGGTACCACTTCCCTTCCGCCCGCGGATCGCCAGCATCGTTGCCGTCTTCTTTCTTTTCGGTACCTTCGTCTCCGATGCCGCCTCCTCCCTCAGCTGCCTGCTTCTCATGCCTCGGCTGCGCGCCGCCGTCAGCGTTCTCGCCGCTGCCTGCCCTTCCTCCCTCGGCTTCTGCTGTGACCTCCTCCGTCTTATCGCCGTCGTTGCCGTCTCCTCCTCCTCCTCCTCCTCCGCCTCCTCCTCCCTGCATTCCTGCCTCGTCGGTTGGGGCCGCCAGCGCCGCCGCCGCCGCGAGCTCTGCTTCCTCTCCCCTCACGATGGCATCACGGATTGCCTGCGTATCCCGATCGTCTGCAGCATCCATTGCGGCTTGCCAGTCCTGCGGCTACAGCGGGGGCCCTAAGAACCACCTTTTCCTTCTCCTCCTCCTCCTCCTCTGCCTCCTCCCCCTCCTGCCCCTCCTCATCATCCTGCTCCTCCTCCTCCTCCTCCTCCTCCTTCTCCTGCTCCTCCGCCCCTTCCTCACAAACCAGCGCTCCGTGGAGCACTGCTGGCAATCGGTGTCTGTCTCCTTGTTGGTGCGTTTGCAGATAGGGCAAACCCACTCGAACTCGTCGCACGAATCGTCGACAGGGATTGTTGCAACACAACCGCCGCCGCTTGAACTGGCCGCCGAAGTGCATGGTCCGCCCCGAGTTCTCCCCACTGCGTCCCCTCCTAGCTTCCCGAAGGCCCCCTGGTACGGAGTGAACTCCGCCATTGCTCTCCCTGCAGGGCCCCACTGCTTCCCAATCAGCTCGAGGCGAAACAGCAACGCGGAGCATCTATAGAGTATACATTGCATGAGAAGCATCCCCCTCCTGCTCCTCATCCTCCTGCTTCTCCTCTTGCTCCTCGTGGGCATCATTTCTGAATGGGCGTTATTGGGCCTCGTTGGGCTTCATTGGGATTCATTGGGATTCATTGTGATTCATTGGGGATTCGAAATAGCGCCATGGCGTTATTTCGTTTCTATGCCTTACATTTTTGCAAACATGACAGAAACAGCACGTCAATGGCGTATGCACTTCGCGCTGCTCTCAGCCTGCCGTGATCAGCGCGACCCTCTTGTCGCGCTCGGCCGTCAAGTCCTCCCTGCTGATGACGCCTTCTGAGGAGTCCCAGCCCTTCCGTCTCAGCCACTGAATGTGTGCCGCCGCATCCGAGGCACACAAGGGGCACGCAGCTGGCCGAGACGGCGGGCCGAGACTAACAACCTCACGGCAAGGAGGAGGATGGGGGATCTAGAGGAGGATGGGGGGGGGGAAGGATGAAGGCAGGCATGAGGATAAATTCTCCCAGCGCGCCATTGCAGTACATAGTAGCAATCTCGATCATCATCTTTTTCGAAACCTCCAAGGTCATCTTCTCAGCCTCATTGGTTGTCTGGTGTAAGACGTCGTTGCCGCCAGCCCCGCCAATTCTGATTGCCACGAGGATTTTCCGATCCTCGCGGCATACGGTGCAATGTAGAGGAGATAAGACTGATGAGAGAATGGGCCAGGGGACAGGGTTCTCGAAAACATCATCCAGGGAACTCATTATAATTATATTCGTATTCCTAACCAGATCGAACATGTTTTCGTAAAGGGGGAAGGTGCGTGTTTTTTTACAAGAAGGTCCTGCTTTCTGAAAACCTTCACACGCTTGCCATCACAATCTGTTCCCGTCCAGAATGTGTTACTTGAGCGCTTGGCAGCCGCATCGTCCAGTTTGGCCTGCGCTCCATCTCTTCACTGGGGGGGGGGTCCATTCCTCCTCCCTCCTCCCCCTCGTTCCACCCTACACCCCTCCTCCCTCCGCCCCTCCCTTCTCCATCTTCCCTGCTCCCTCCCCCTCCTTCCGACCCTTCTCTAAGGCCCAGCCCCTCCTTGAGAATTTCCAGGAGGTCGTCGGGAACGATGGATGGCACTCTGAAGGTTCCAGTAGTAAATACTGCGTTGACTATGCCAGCATCTACGTCGGGTTCAAAAATATCCGAATACTCTGGGGGGCCCCATCTCGTCTTCGAACGGCGGTACCGCAAACATGCTTGCAACCGTTGTGGTTCCCACGTGACTTTCGGCCCATCCCCTGGTGCCTCCGCTTTTGCTTTTGCTTTGCCTTTGCCTTTGGGTTTGGCGGGGATCACTGGGGTCAGTGGCGAGTCCTTCGCTTCTACGGGGGTCGGTGGCGAGTCCTTCGCTTCTACTGGGGCTGGTGGCTTGCCCTTCGCTTTCACTGGGGTCGGTGGCGGCGCTTTCGTAGCCGTTGCTGGGGCTTTCCGCTCTACTGGGCTGACTGGGATCGGTTCGTCGCACGGCATATCAAACATGCTACCAGGAATTTCGTCGCACGGCTCCTCATTAAGCTTACTCCTCTTGGCGCGGGCGACGTCCTCTGCAGCTCGTTTATTCGTCTTCTTCTCCTGCTCAAGCTTTGCCGATGCATCTGACGCCGCCGCCGCAGGCTTCTTCGAAGCCACCTTCGCCTCATCCTCTTCCTCTTCCTCTTCCTCTTCCTCATCCCGTTCGTTCTCCTCCTCCTCCTCCTCCTCCTCCTCCTCTCCTTCCGCCCCCGACTTCTCCTGGGGCTCTGCCTCTTCGAGCGC